CAGTATTTCTCGGTGCAGACTACTCATACACATTAGAAATCTATGCGTGAACAGTACATTTTTAGAAAACTGAGGATACTTTGCTTAAAGCAAAGTATCCTCAGTTTTCTAAAAATAATAATTCAGCCTGCATAAAATGCGGCTGAATAAACTGACCGGCTTCTTCCGTTATGTATCCAAGAAAAATTCTTGATCCGGCTCGGCCTGACCAGACCAAAATACTTTCGGCCCGAGCCCGACCACTCCATAAAATTTTCTATCCCGGCCCGTGCTGATCTCTGATACATATATGCTAAACGATGTCTAAACAATGCTTAAATATAGTGCTGAGGTGGAACGAACTAAACTTGTTCAGCCTAAATGTGGTCTAATAAGACCGATTCTAGAATCTCTCTCTGTAATGTTAATTAATGCTCTAATATATTTACGATTGTATACCAACAAAAAGCCCTGTAATGTAATGATTGAGATCGGCTAAAACGCGTAACTGTCACCGTCTGTTGCGGTGGGTTGTAGATTGAAATTATAGAAATCTGCTAATACCGTTTTAAAGAGCGATATCGAAAATGTATAAATACGATATTTTCAGTGTCATAAAGTGACATCACGTATGCAGCGATAAGCGATTCTAATGGTTGGACAATAGCAAGAAACATGTATCTAATGAACTAACAGGTGATTCCGAAATAAACGGACTTTTTCAATTTTGCTATAACTTTGTCAATTTTCATCCAATCGGCTTCAGTTTTTTTTATTAGATTCTCCTTGAAATTCTCTACAAAACATGTGTCTTTCTTTCTTAAATCTTTCAAAGTTAATTTTTTAGAAAATGAAAAGTAATGACTTGCAGAAACTGGCACTTTATAAACAAGGAAAAGGAATAACACCAGCACAAATATTCCGTGATTTGAAGGAAAATATTTCGAAAGGTCAAGTTTACGAATGGTGCAAAATGATCAGCAAGACATGGCGAATTCAGTTATCGTATCCTCATGGACGTACACGTACTGCGAGATCAAAAAAAGTGGTTCAGAAAGTCAAAGGTAGACTTAAACGGAAAAAACGACTATCAACAAGAAAATTGACTGCGGAATTGAACGTTTCTCAAACTTCGGTGTTTCGAATGCTTAATGATGATCTCGGATTGAAGGCTTACAAGAAACCTGTCGAACCGACTCTCACTGATCGTTAAAAAGCGAAGAGAATTAAATTTGCAAACTGGATTTTGAACAATTTCGATAAAACAAAAACTTTACGAATATTGTTTTCTGATGAAAAATATTTCGATCTGGACGGTATGTACAGTCGCAAAATGATAGAATCTAGGCAGTAGATCGTGCTGAAGGTGATGCTAACGGCAGAATCAAGCAAAAACAAAAGTTTCCAGCAAAAGTCATGGTATGGTTAGATGCTGCTTGTTCGAAAGGAATTACACCAATGGTAATTTTTGAAAATGGCATCATGAATCATCAACGTTACATGGATAAAGTACTTCCAATTGCTAAAAAATACGGTGATAAACAATTTGGAGATGATGGACATACCAGAAGGATGGAGCCAAGCCACACACGGACAAACTTTCAATGAAATGGTGTTACGATAACATGCCTGAAATAATCGACAAACAACGTTGGCCACCAAATAGTCCTGATCTCAATCTCTTGGACTATAGTATATGGACTGAATTTGTATAACAAATTAATTGAAATATTATACGATCAAAACAAACTTTAATTGAAGAACTGAAACGATCTGTGAAAAAAATTAGAACAGAAACAGTTTAAAAAGTTGTGAAAATTGGACCAATCGATTGCATCGTTTAAAAAAAATTAACGGAAACTATCCTCATTAATAAAAATATATTTTTTAGTAGAGAATTTCAAGGAGAATCTAATAATAAAAGGTGAAGTCGATTGGATGAAAACTGACAAAGTTATAGTAAAATTAAAAAAGTCCGTTTATTTCTGAATCATCCGTTATTTTACTTAGATGCATGTTCTGTTCTCCAACCAAGCATTAATCGAAAGAAATATATATGCGTTCTAGTAGCAAATGAGCTGCTCTTTCCAATGGTCACCTTGGTTTTAGGTTCTGCTGCTCGTGTTCCGGAAAAATTGCCTAGTAAAGCCACCGCATTGCTGATGTAATTCCGTCACGAAAACTTGGAATACCTCTCTTTGCGCTTTACCTAATACCTTCGCGAAAAAATTAAGTAGATATTTGGATTAAGGTTCCCTAGACAAAAAAATATATACCTGAGCCAGGCGTCTCCTGCCGATGACAAGTTTTACAACACGTTTGTGCAGATGTTCTCCATGGACTCACGCGTTTAGAAACGAGCATCGTCTATGAGATATTTGGCGAACATACGAAATCCTCATCTCATTCTGGTTGTTGAGAGAACCTATACAACGATTCAGATTCAAAATAGAAGATTGTTCAAAGCGCTAGAGAGTTCACAGCAGGCGATTGTGGAATTTTACGAAATTTTTAGTAGAAAGCATATGGGAATGATTCTTTATATGTTCTTTACGGAAATCGTAAGTACGATCTGATATTGGACTTTATGCAGAGAGTCTAGATTGTATCTTAGAATAATACTCTGTTAGCTTCTAATGGATGCCTAATACTTGTGTTACAGTGTAGAATAAATAAAATAGTCTGGCTAGCGAAAAAGAGGCTGCTTTGTGTAGGTATGGGCAGATTAAACGAAGCAAATAGGTATGGAAATTTTCGGTATCTAGGCTACGATATTTTTGACACAAAGATCTGGAAAGGTCCCATTCACCAGACACTATACAATAAATGGTGCCGAGCATAATCTTAATTCTATCTATCTATCGAATTTGAATACGTTTAAGAAATTATTTTTTTCGTTATATCTTTCCTTACTTTTGTTGGCTTTTAGGCCTTTTTTACATCGTTCAAACTCAGTTCCATAAATAGTGACTTCTCGGTATTGCAGACTTATACGAAAGGTACAATGTCTTTACGACGAGGCTTTTTCTCTCGGAGAAATGGCCTACAATATCTGCTCAATTATTTTTCGCCGGTTGTTAGGCCATGCATAGAGTGGACTGCTAGTGTAATCCGCGTCCCATAATAGAAGAAGTATAATAGAAAAATGTGTGTTTGCTTGTTTGAGAGAATAAGGGATCACACAAACGAGGATCGTTTACTATATTGTATACGTAAAATTATTCTAAGCGCTCTACTGCTATCACGGCACTACTGCTAACTGTTTTGTCACACATATTCTGTAGAGAATTTTAAATGCTATCCTGTGATATATTTACTTTGTCCTGTGCGTGAGAGAAAAATGAGGAAAATACCTTTTACGTAGCCTATAGCTGATCTTTTAGAGATGAGCTATTGGCATCCTATTGACGAAGAATTACTCGGATTTTAGTTAACAAGAGTATGCGAAATACCTAAGAGCCATTGCACGTGAGTCACGGCCTATTACAGCGGAATAGTCTTCAATCGTTGTTCTCAAAACTTTTTCTTGGGGTTCTTGTAGACCAAACATTTTGATGAACTTTAGGAAAAGGCGCAAATCAAAAAGTTGTATCGTTGCTGAGATATTGAAATTTTACAAAAAGCCCCGAAAAACGTGGATTTCACCATCTTGAAAATTTGCAAAGTTTAAACTCTTGTAATTTAGTAACAACAGAACACCTAATGTTGCAGATTTTGCCATAAATAGTAGATAGTGTGAACTACAACACCACGCAAGCTCGAAGCATGCTTTCGTTATTTTGTAACAGATGACGCACGAAGAGCACAAATCCAGAAAATCTTTAATTTTCCTGTAGCACTCATCCAAGTGTGCTATCATAGTGCATGCAGCGATTTGTGGGTTTTGCCAAAATGGCTTCGGGGTCTCGGTCGGGGCTACTGAGTTTTAGAGGGTTGCCTCAATCAGTGTATTTCAGCTACAGTTTACTAAAATTTCATAAAAGCCAAGTTGATATGCAGTTTTTCATAAGGAATTCAATAGCAATACAACAACAAGCTAATTCTATTATTAATGCGCTCCTATGTGTCGGTTTCACCGGGTTCCAAACGGGTTCTTTCTGATGGATTTTCATATGCTGGTCAGTAGTTTTTTGAATAACTAAAGAACAAAAGGCGGTAGAAACTTGTGATTTTTAGCGATTCGATAGTTAAAACTGTAAGCTATCTTTTTATAACTAAAACACAGTTGAAAGTATTTCTCAGTGACCGGTTTTCTAGGAGCCCTTTAGGAAACCGTCCCCTAACTGTAAATGATAATGTGGCAATATATTGGTTTTTTTATGACTTAATAGCCTAAGGTGTCCTCTTCAAACCGGGAGCCAAGCGAGACTCTTATTATGTGTTATTTGGATGTGGTATCTGATTTCCATGAGGTACCCGGATAGATACTCAGTGGCTTCGGGTAACTTTGAAAGAAGAAGATAATTACATAGTCGACCATGCAAATCTGATAGCAACGTTTATTTTATTTTACTTTATGTTACTTTTCCTCCTTCAAAGTTATTCGAAGCCGCTAAGTGGCAGCTCAGGTACCTCATGCAAACCAGATACCATGTCCAAATGCTTGTTGTTTTATTGCCATTGAATTCCTTATGAAAACTGCATATCAAATTGGCTTTTATGAAATTGTAGTAAACTATAGCAGAAATAAGCGATCATAAAATATCGCAGTTGTCATCACTAAAAACTATTCATTCAAATAAATAAAACTATTCCATGCTGTTCTTTTGGTTTTTAGAAACCAAAATCATCTTTAGTATTGTGAAAAGAGCATCATATGATTTGGTTTTCTCTCTACTTGCTGTACCATTTATGGAAAGATATTGTCAGCGAGTTCGTTAAAATACAGAAAAGCAACTTGTTTTCACAGTAAGAACTGTTTCTTTTTGAAATCAAGGTTTAGAAATCTATGAAGAACAAAAATAAAAACATTTCTTGACTAAAATACAACACAAGAAAATAAATGTTTCTAGTTGCTATAATCATACTACTACGTCGATTTCTTCGGCTTGAAGATCACGGGCGAGAATGCCGACGAATTTGGTACTCAGGTCTAGAGCTCCAGTTAAATCACTTTCTTCGTAATTTCTGATATGCGTTCGAAATATCGATGCCATCGTGTTTGGATAGGAACCAATTTTCATTAATTTATATCGAATATTTTTCGCATTGAGAGCATCACTTATTTTTTCAATTGTCAGACCACATGGACATCCGCCGGGCCAATGATCACCACTCCCGCCTGTATAAATCGAACCATGCGGTGGAGAATCAGCAATATGAACAATATATTTCAGTGTAGTTGAATCACGCCATCGTGTGTTGATCACAGCTTCATTTAAGCCGTCAAGTACTGCCTAATGTTAAATTAAAGAAAAAGCGATAATACACTGCATTCTCGATGATTATGGTTATAAAAGTACTTACTTCTGGTCCATTGCCACCACCATCAGCAGTAAGAGTATTTATAAATGTTGTCACCACAACTGCAGTTGTTAAATTGTCTGGATTTGATTGTTGAACATATGTTGTATCTTGAGGTGGATGATCACGGTAGGCAACAAAACGGAATTGTACATCTTTAATTGCCTTAGCTGATTCTATTATCCGTTGTATTGTTTGTTTTGATTCTTCGATATAGGTACTCATTGATCCTGTTGTATCACAACAGAAAACAATATATAATTTATCAAAACTATCATGTTTGCATGCAAATGTATGTTCATTTGTGTGCCATGCTGTTTGCGTACAAAAACTTTGAGTGTCGCTGACATGAGTTGGATGTGAACAATAGTATGAACAGCTGTTAATTCTTGAACTAACGTCGTCAGTATATGGTACTTCCCAGCCTAATGAATGCCAATAAGCTTCACATAACCATAAGTCATAAACACGATCGGTGAACGGATACCATTGCTCTCTGGAATGTTTAACATATGGATATAAATTATCACAACACTCATCCGCTCCTAGACACAACTTTAAATGGAAATGAGTACGTCCTTTTCTTTCGCACGATTCACTACATATTTCTGGTTTGCACGACTCACCTATACAATAAGCAATGAATAAAACTGAGAGCGGCCGTAATAAAACACAAAAAATCTCTACGTTTCAGAGAAGAGAGAAAAAGTCAAGTAGAACCAACTCTAAATGCCTTCTTGCATGAACAGACACTAATGAAACATGAGAAATTGTTGTTAAATGCTTCTTATTCGTTAGACAACCATTAACTTGTAAGTGACAGATGTGACGAGTATATTTACAACAACAAATACAACATTAACATACCTGGTTTGTATTCTCGTGATTTTCCTTCAGTTTTAACTACAACGGACCTTGCTGCAGATGTTGTATCATGTTTTGTTACAAACACATTACATTCTTTATTTCGATGTGTATTGGTCATATGATACGGTTCGGGATGACTGTGAGGCAATTGACAAAAACTTCGACATTCAGGACATTGATGACCACATCGATGGTCAATTTTACAGTTATGTGATACGCCTGCATGTGTTCTTGTTTTTAATGAGATTGCTAGAACACATTTGGATCTTGCAGGTTTTGGTTCATAAAATTTATATGGAAAAGTGTTCATTTCATTTGTCCATTCTTTTTCAACGATATCATAACCAATACCACAAACACCTGGTTGAATACAAGTCTCGATACAGGCATGCTCATTTGAGCATATATGGTAATTGATTATATGTTCTTTAACAGAACCGTCAAGCAATACTTTTAATTCATTTTCTTGCTTATTAGCAATCAGATTTTGATGAAAATGATTTTTAAACCTGCACCGTTGTCGGCATCCTTCGATTGAACATGTATATGGACAAAATTGCTCGCCACAGTAGTGCTCTTCATGCACCAATCTGATATCATATGAACAAATTTTGTCGCATTGTGGATGCTGCGAACATTTTTCCGTGCAATAATGTCGATTTAAACAATCATGAACTTCATGCGACGAGTCTAGTGCACAGAACATCGTACATGTACTTGTTACCGTACATGGTTTACCACAGACGTGACCTCCATTGCAATGGTGTTTGTTATCATGTCCGTATAACTTACAGCACAAATATGATAAAGTACATAACTCACACGGTTCTTTACAGAGATGATCCGTTTCACAATTACAATCATCTCGATGATCGTTATGTTTAACACATAACCGTTTACATCGCCGACATTCACGGATGCATATTTTGGACTTTTGATATAACAGATCAAGTTTTCCTTTTAACGAGACCTCAAAATCTTTGATATCTGCGGCGTATGTTGCTTCCGTAGTTGGCATTTGTTGTTGTACATACGACAAAATAAATTGTATTCGATGTTCTAGGGTTTGTTTCAAAACATTGTCAACATTTGTAAACCATACATTATGATATGATTCATTATAGTTACATTTGAAATGTTCAGAAATCAAATCGAAAAACAATAATGCTGTCCGAGCCAGTTCATCGTCCTCTTCCATACGTTCAGTGCTCTCATCATTGTACAAGTAAGCCACGAAATTAATTTTTTCTTGATTAATAATTATTTCCTCTTCTCCTGTTTCACCAGTCAATTTTTGAATTTTTATGATACACTTGCCACATGTCGAAAACTGGCTGCCACCTGAAACAAAGGCACAAAAAAATTTGAGAATTAAGACGGCATATTGCAAATTATTCATATGTAACTCACCTTGAATAAGCATTGTATGTGCTTCTCGCTCCAACCTTGAAAATGACATTTTCAACCGATGAACGTCCATTACTGTATCATCGTCCGTATGTACTTGTGCCAAGGTTAATTTTAAACTTTCTAAAAACTCTTGGCCACTATTCCAACGAAAAGGTAATTCAAGTATTAATTTTCGCATATCTTCAATTTCTTTAACAAACACACGATTTTCAAAATGATGTAAACATTGACCGCGTATTTTTCCACCGAATAACTTCTGAAGATATGATGAACGATTATTAGCAGCTTGTTGTCTTATATTACTAACTAATTCGGTATAAGCACCATCAGCATCTTGAGTTGACACATCTCGAATAACCATCATAAGAAACCCTTTAAACAAATTTGAACCTTTCATACGGTCACAACTTTTTGAGAAATTACTAAAGAGCTGTGTCAAATAACGATTGAACGATAAATCTTGATTTAATAATAAAATATCAGTTAGTGCTGATAGCGTCAGGCAGAGTTTCATTTCTTCTAGGTCATTTCGACGGGTAGAAAACAGACCTTCACAATCAAGTACAATTAGTGGTTGCCCGTCGACGAAAGTAACAGACATCCAAATTCCGTCCGTACAACGTGTTGCAGCAACGTTAAATCTTGTGCCAGTTAAACGATTTAACAAATAAGATTTTCCTGAAATACAAAATACAGTGAACTAGCGAGAAAACCGGGCAATGTGCATTCAGAAGACAGCTAAAGATAAAACAGTTCAGCTTAGCACGTTTGAACTTCTTAAGACCTTCTCGGATTAACTTAAAACTGAGATTAATTAAAATAACGGATTACCGCCGCTTTGACGTCCCACAATAGCAGTTACTTTCACTTTTTGTTGACAATTTTGTAAAATTGTTTCATATGCACCAATGCGAACTAGAAAACAGAGAAATATAGTTTGAAGGACAATGAAAAGAACGAACAAAGCTTACTTAATTCTGTTATACGTTGGACAAGTCCTGTCTTAGTATCCTTTGAACTCTTCCACGCCGCTATTTCATCAGTAATATTTTTACCATCCTGCAACGGGAACATATTTGATTCTTCGATGGTTGCTACATGAATGGGGACACGCGATCCTAATATTTGTTTGAAATCACTGATTTGAATTTGTGGTAAACGTCGAAATATATTTTTGTAATCCGGATCAGTTAAAGACTCGATTTGTAAACACATACCAATAATAAACAACTGAGTGAAATACGTATCGATCTTATCTTCTTTTATTAGTAAGTCGCTTGGTAGCATCAGAGTGATTTGTGTTTTTCGCGGACAACCGATACAGTCAGACGACGGTCCAAACTTTCTCTGAGCTAGATAAAATATATCTAACAGTGGAAAACCTTTGAGTTGTTCAACGGAAGCACGTTCAATATCCAATGTGCGTGCTGCTGATAAACCGCGCAGTAAATAAACGTAGCACTCGCTAGTATGCTCATTTAAAACCACGTAGGTATTTGTTTGATCGGCGAATGTTTTATATCCACTAAACAAATTTGTATCATGTATTGGAATAGACCCAATCATTGACCATGTTAAATCATAAATATCAAGCGATTTCTCACATTGTAACAAAATACATTTACCACCAGGGACAGCTGATACCTGTGTATATTTTCCATCAGCTGGTTTCAGCGAAATTTTCTTAATGTATGTATCTTGATTCACACGTTTACATATAAATTTCAATGTACCGCTTAGGTATCGGTATTCAATGAGGCTAAAACTTTGATCAAAGAGTAACACCGAATCATTTCCTTGCAGGAAACATATCGTGGAAATATGATTTAAAATTGGCGTACTTATGGCGTCCCCGTCGGCAATCACTAAATCTTCAATCGTTTGACCGTACAAATTCGACACAGGTGTCGGTGCTTGCAATCGTCCTGTTCGTTCATCTAATTTTCCACGTTCAGCTCGTCGATTCAAATTATCATAGATGAGATAGATATTAGCTTTCTCATCAATGATCAGTCTTGTTTCTGGTGACAACAATTTTTGTTGGAGTTCAATCTCCGCATATGATGGATTTGCAAAATTAAAATAATACAAAGATGATCGTCCATTTGGCCAATTACTAAAGTTAAAATAGCCAATTTTATCTGTTACACAGATGACTTGAGAAAGTGATACATCCTTTGGTTTTTCATTTGCTCCCAATGGCAGCCGTTGTTTGATTTCAAAGCCTTTTCTTGTTATTTTATAATCCACAACATTTCCTTCTACGTCGACAATTGGGCTACACTCGTAAAAAAGGATATTCAATTCGAATCGATGTGTTTCATCTGTTTTGTGTGTATTTTCATTTAGCCAGTTTAACATATTCTGCAATGATGATCGTCTTGTTTCTTCCAGTTCGTCTTGCAGCTGCGCTAAGCCAGTCTGAACACAATCTCTCCATGCTTGTCGAATTTTCTCTTGAATAGAAAACCTATGTTCATAATGTATACGACAGCTTAATGAATCTTCATCTAAATCTTGAATAATCTGTTTTAAGTCACACATACGATCCGATGCTGAGGTCGATGACTCTAGTCGTTTCAAGATATCATATAATGTTAAACAAATATCTGAGCATCGTTCTGTGCGTGCTCTGTAATCAAGTTCGAATTTCGATGGCGGTTCTTCAGATATATCAAATATGGAACGAACTGTTGAAGCAACATGTGAGAAAAATCCATGATGTTTTTTACTGAATTTTAATGAACATGAATGTAATTGGCAGACTTTGACTACTTTTTTGGCTAAACGCTTTTCTTTCTCACGTAATTTTCGCGCGACAAGGTTATCATATGCATTTACAATATTAGTTAATAAATCTTCAAATTCTCTTTGTTTATGATCGAAAACAAAACATTGAAATACATTTAATGAACGTTGTTTGAAATTTTGAAAATAACTCTGTTTCATCCATTTTTCCTGAGCAGTTCTAGATGCACGATCATAATCAATGAGTATATCTTTCGAATGAATAAGTGCATTTTCTAGATCTTTTGTATTAACGGAATTTTGTCTTCGTGTCAACTCAATATCTTCACGTAAATGATATGAATACAGGTAGCGTTGATGATCGTGCGAGCAAACATTGAGCTGTTGTCGACAAAAATGTGTACATTTTGTATCACAGTGCGATAAATTGTAAGATGATTGATTTTTATTAATTTCCATTATTGATATGATTTCATTCGGACGAACACTTCGTTCTTGCAATTGAACATAAGTATTGGCTGAATCTTGAAACGGCTTGGTCATAGCTGGATCCCATTCGAGTTCAGCCGGCGGCATAACGATTATTTTTTCACAGATATCTAGCATGTAACGAACATAATCGATCGCTAATAAAGACGATGATAGCGGACCAGTGTTGAAAACTGATTCAACATTTCGATAAACAAAAGCTACTTTGCGATCTTTCGTGACGACTAAAAGGCCTTCGTTCTTCTGATATAGTTTCGTTTCAACAGTACGAATATCCTCTGTTGATAACTCGAGATAATGTTTACAGGCTTCTGGAATGCGTTCTTTTCCGCCGACAAAGCCAACACATGCTAATTTTTCGTTTCCCACTGATGAAGTTGCTGTTGCTGCTACAGCAATTGTAGTTGACGCCAAAAACGGATTCAACAACTTTTCAGCTTCGGCGGCATTGTATGTTATTTTATTTAATTTATATTCAGAAGAAATATCTTCATACGTTTCAAAAAGTACATACGTTCGAACTTGATCAGCCATTGATCTATGTATAAGAGTCACGTAGAAAACTATCTGTTTATCAAAGAGAAGCACCTTTTTCTGGAAGAAAGCGGCGTAAAACATTTATAGTTTTTAGACAATAGTATAAGTTTATCATGAATAATGCGCAAAGAAAATGAGAACTGCTTTTTCATCGAGACATGCCTCTACTATGGGCCTAGAAAGCAATGATAGCGATCGTTTTTTCGATAAACCACGAATGGAAAGAGCTAGAGAGTTAAAATTCTCGCCATTTGATAGCTAAGACTTTAGAGCATCTTTCTATAAGGAAAATTATTATCAAACTACTTCTTAAAACCTGCTTTTCGAAAATCTGTATCAAATAGCACTTTGTGTAAGTATGGACACAATAAAACGTCACAGCATTTTTTTCGAGATTGTAAGCTATGTCAGTTTTAACGTAATACTCTCTTAAACGCCTTGTCAGCAAGAGAATCTGCTCTTAACTTAAGTCTTGATTTAGTTTAACCGAATGTACGTCTTTTAGTAGAAATATATATAGAGTGTGTGTGGTCGAGTTTTTATTTTTATCTCAAGGACAAAAACATTTAAAGAAGACTAGTGCTTCTGTTTATATCTACGTTTTCTCGTTTGTTCCTGTTGCGTCTAGTCGATTTTTTTATAATTAGAAAATAATTAGAAATAAGATTGCTTTTTTATTCGTAAAAAATTGTATCTATAGCTAGACGTTTCAATTTATTTGCTAAATTTTCATCAGTAGCCAGACAGAAAATTAAAAGTATAACATTAAATTCAT